GTAACCTAAAACTGTGAAGTCCCAAAACACACATCAAAGCAAGTGTTCTTGCAGTTTATAGAACAAGCCTGCCCATCTGCTCCTACAGGTGGCTTGGGTGACATTTGAAATGCCAATCAAATGAAAAAACAAACCCTGCAAAACTGCAGAACTCCACCACAACAGAATCCCAAGAAGAGGATTTTCATCTGAATATTTTCCGAACTCCAGCTAAAACAAGACTGTTCTTGTTCAAGCATGTCCAGACACACAATAAAAACAAAGATGGACCCAACAATTAAGTGCCAAATGTTGAACAGTTCCTGATATCCAGATCCAATTCCTTTGGATCAAAATCAAAACCATATGCCAGAGCAGAACTGCTATTCTGAGGAGTGTCTGATATTCACTCCCTTCTTGTGAAACCAAAGAATTTAATTGTTGTAGGAGAAGACATGGTTTGCAGTCTTCACTTTAATTGCTTCTTATTTAGGAGGCTTCATCATTCAGAACGTCAGCACCTCTTCTGGTGATGTACATGGTTAAATGCTAGAATAGCTCCATTAATATTATGAAATTATTTTGGAATTCATCCAGTGAGCTTGACCCATTTTATCCCTTAATCCGGTGAATTTGTACATTTGTTTGTGTATGATCTGAATTATGTGTAACTCAGTCTTTAAAGGCATTGGTGCTAGAAAACAAGTCCTCAGATAATCAAAGACAGGCACAGAAGTGAGGATAATCAGAGGCAAGCGAACCTGTGGGATAGCAAAGGAAGACTACAGTAACAGTTGAGGCAAAGGAGGTTATTATGAGAGATCCCCAGGGTAAACTTCTTCCTACATGGGCATGTTGCTGAAAAGCAGGGCTTGTGGTTTTCCAGAAAATGTGTGGGTTATCTGCACTAAAATATGGTACTCTGAACATCCCTGGCTCACTAGATGAGTATCACAGCTGCAGGGGCCTCTGCCAGCTATAGAAACTTCCACTAGGCCTCCTGACATCGTACGCCAACATTTATACAAATCTCTCAGGAAAGAAATGATGTAAAATAGAATGTATAACCTACTGACTTTATAAACTATTTCAGCTGAAACGCTAAGAATGAATTACACAAGTATTAGAGTACCACAGCAGCATTCTCTTAGGACTCAAACTAGGGGTAGGGCCTTACAGACCTCATTTGTGTCAATATTCTAACTTTAGTCAATAACGCCTGCCTCAGCCTTACATTACCTTTAAAACAGTGGCAGAGGTCTTATTTTCCTGCGTAAGTAGAGGCTGATTATGGAAAGAACACGGGGAGAGGCCACCACTTAAAAGTCAAATTTTCATGGGCTCTGTACCACATTTTTGCTACAGAGAAACAACATTCAGTTTAAGTAGAAGCTCAAATTCCACTTTTGCAAAAACTTACAAGAATAAATATTTGTGTGCAGATGTTCAGCACCTTTGGCTTCATTCACGTCTCTGCAGGATCAAAGTCTTAAATATACTATGATCTGCAAGCACTGAGGTAAGACGGAAGGGTGAGGAGAGAGCGAGACTTGGGAAGGAAATGTATTACTTTCCAGGGTGTGTGTGTGTGTTTTTTTTTTTTGTTTTTAAACAAGGCCTACTTATACGTGTATTAATGGCCACAGCTACAAGGAACTCAGGAAAGGGAATTAAGTTTATAAATCTCATTTTTGTTTCCCAGAAATACTCCCCCCAAAAAAGGTTAATAAAAGTAAACACTAACTAAACTCACTACTATTACACTGCGTAGCAAGTGTTGATGAGTGCTTCTTGCTCTGTACATTTAACTTCTCTAAGTAAGAAAGGGATCTGATTTGGACTCCCCGGCCAATATATTGTAAATATGCTAGCTTTTCAAGAGTGCAAGTGAGGTTCTTAACATTTTAGCAGTGCGCATGCAAACACAATTAAAGCCAATCGAGCAGGGCATATCTGTTTATCCCTTTTCTCATATTTCTAGTGTGCTACTGAGCAACAACCCGACTGTGTCTCTAGAATCCTCTGACAGAAAGGACCATCCTATCTTAAATCAAATACGAGATGCCAAATGAGGTTCTGCGCCATGCCATGGCAATCACACCTTAAAACAAGTAAAATTTTTCCAGGTAGAATGACAAACTGAGCAGGCCAGCTTTCCAGTTCAGGTAGGCAACAGTTTGTTAGGTCTGTGCTGTTTAGTCACTAAGCCTTTATTTTGTAGGTTATTAGTCTGTTTTTTTCCAGAAGAGAAAACGGTAATCTTGCATCAAGATGTAATTGTTGTTAACCTAGTTTTTCATTCTGGCAGAGAAATTTAGTGGCACTAAATGCTGATGGAAAATACAGGAATCAAAAAAAAGGAAGGCTCTATTTATCTATTTACACAGGAAGGTGTATTGATCCAATTATTTTCCTGCTTTAAGATTTGCATGTTTGTAAACATTTGATTTTAGATACTCCCAACAGAGGTCAGATTTGGAATAGCAAATATTTAGTGTCAATAGAAGTCCTGTTGCAGTGCTTCATTCTTAAGCTGGCAAAAGACTAATGGATGATCTATAAAACCCTACCCTTGTAAAACTGACTAAATTAATAAAGAATTTAAGCCACATAGTAAATGAGCAGAACTTCAATTGATTTACTGAGTTGCATTTTGAGAGTTACTGTAATTTGCCTTCCAGCACTCCAGCACTAGTGGACGAGATTTAATGACATTATTTTCTATTGCAAAATCTATCAAGGTCTCAATATTTAAACACCCTGGGCTGTTATCGAGGGCTAAGACAGACATTCATCACTGAAATAAAGATTTATATTGACAGGTAAATCCTTAAGCATGATGAGTGATCCAGGAGTTAAAAATGAATATGAGTACTCAAAAAAGCAGGCACCTGGACAGTACCTCAGGTAATGAATTGTTTTCCATTAGGGGTTATAAAGCAAAAAGGTTACATATCCTTTTGAAAGCAAAGAAGGTGAATAAGTAAAGGAAGCTGAACACAGCATGCTGGACAGGAACTCATTCCCATCTGAACTACTTAGTTTAAATCATGGCTTGCTATGCTGTTTCCTCAGTAGAGTTATTCATGTGTTGGGAGGTAGGTGACAGTTTGCAACTGTTCTTTCAGAAAACATCACTAACAATCTGAAACTTCAGAAAGTTTGGAGATTAGTAGTTGTCCTGGTTCATCAGGTCTTCATAAACCAGATGCAATGTCTAAGCCATTAACTACTAGTCATGACTAACTATGAGAAATATATTACATGACTGGTATTCATTATTTGTGAAGTCAGAAATAAATCAGCTCGTTAACTAAAAATCTGACTACCGGCCTCAAGTTCAAGGCTCTCATTTCTTTTCTCTGTCACACTGGTGTGCTGTACTACATCTAAACTCTTTCTCACTTCATGGGACTTCTCTGGATTGGAAAGTCATATTTGCAGTATCTTGCACACATTCCTCATGCCAAATGATTTTCTCTGTTACTGGTCCACTAAAGTGCTGAACTGCAAAACTGAAGTTAGATAAATCATCTTTGTGCTCTGTCAGTTAAAAAACAAAGTTCATCCAAGAAACTATCTATAAACTTTTTTCCTTGTTCTTTCTATTTCTTGTTTTTTCTTGTTCCTTCTCTTTCTAAAGAGAACAGAGTATTTCACATGCCCACCGCCCTGCAGGATGCGTTAACGCACCACAGACAGGTCTTACGATATGGTGGAAGACGACTACATTTCTCAGTTTTACACTGTCTTCACTATTATGGGCTTCCTTGAATGAACATATCTTATGAAACAAACTTGATCTTTTCCCTTGTTCAACTCTCATGAAGTGAATTGACTTTTCATTGATACCTGAAAAGACCTGGCTCACTGACAGAAACGGATTCTGGCCTTTAACATGAATCACTGACTTAAAATTTTTCTCACTGAGAGCCAGATTGGGCTTCATAAAGCCCATAAATCAAGGGATACGTTAGCCTTTTCTGAACTTCCTAAATGTAAAGCAACACCTCTCTTCTCAAGTATTAAATAGAATAAATATAATTTTATAAAGATGATGCTCAGGTGAATTCTTAAAACATAGCTCCTTTTAAAATATAACTTCTAGCATGGCATATTCCTATACTCTTCCCATTTCTCTCTCTCATTTTTCCAGTGCTTTGACAAATTTCCTAGTTTACTATTTATGTTGGTGAGGAATAACTATGGGTTAGACTGTCTCTTTACAATCTGCCTGCTGGTTTGTATACTAACCAGCATGGTAGTCAAGTTCAGTCTAAGGCTCTTTCTATACAGCGCTGCCCATCTGTGGTTGCTGCAATAATGGTGGGGCGTATATGTGAGTCTACATCCCCAGTAGGGCAGCACCTCACATACAAATAGCCTGTAGGAGGGAGAGTCTTCTGTGCTTTAGGCCCTTTAGTGCTCCTGAAAGGCTGGTGAAGCTCTAGCACCAGCCAGGATACGAAGCAGACCTACTCATGCACACAGAATGCGGTTAAAAGCTGAGCTACCTAGGAAGGAAAAACTTTTCTCCAACTTTTTTCAGGCCCTGTTATTTTAGAAGTTGCCTCCTAAAGTATCATAGGTATAACATTTTCTGCCTGAAAAAAATGATTTTCAAAGGGATGTACTTTTTCTAAGGCTGTATTTTGTATGGCAGCAATGATCACAAAGTACCATTCTCCATGACATCAGCATGCATAGGAACCACAAGGGCAAGAGAAGTCTAACTGGCAAAAGCCTACCTTTTCCTTGATATTTGCAGGAGAACTGGTTTCTGCCATCTCTCTTCTGGTAAGAATACTGTCTGCGAAAGGAGGGGAAAAAAAAAAAAAAAACATACAAAGGATTAATTTGGAAGTTTTAATACTGACCTGTCAAAGCGTTACACCTATAAGGACTAATGCGTACATTTACAAGTAAACATTAGAGAAACGTGAAAAGCACAGGAAAAGAACAGCTCTTAGCAGTGCTCAATCTCGTCAAAAAGCAAGAAATCTCATGCTCTCCTCAGATTAGTTCTAAAAACACACTTTTACAAATGCCTCATTGGTGTGAACCTGAATAGAAAGGGTATCATGTTTCTCCCAGCCACATCTCTTGGACCCCGTTCATTATTACTTGGTATCTTTCAGGCTTTAAAAATGAGGAATACCTTAGCTGAACTCAACAGCTCCTGTTTTCTCATTCAGCAGCAATCTTAACTTTGGCCAGAAAATTTGTCTGATGATCCAATCTTAAAAAGCAGTTAAAAGTGCCAGGAGGTTAGGTGGACAAGTGCTGCTTGGCTGGTATTTCCAAAACTAAATGAGAGGATTTAGCTACACAGCTCCTATTGAAGCTGACAGGGTCTGTACAGTTAAATCTCCAAGTCTGCTCTGAAAATTTGGGCACATGAATGGCATTTGCATGAGACTAAGAAACCCTGCTATATGCTTTTGTTTACACAGTCATATAACTGGAAATAGAGAGACACTGTACCACATAATGAAGAGTTAACACAGTAAGGAATCCAGTGGCCTGATCCCACTTCCATCAAAGCCTTAGACTTCAGTAAGGAATAGGCTCAAATCTTCAAATTTTTAAATTAAGTCACACACAAAAAAATATAGCAAAGACTTAATCAAATTGAATAAAAGCTTGGCTTGCTTACTGAATTTCTTAATTCTACTGTACACTGAAGGTACAGTTGTGAAGAAATGAGAATGAAATCTTTGTTTTTTCCAAGTTTTTAACCTGAAACACTTTCTTCTTTTTCCTGTTCAAACTCTTTGCAGTGTTTGCTGATATATAAGAGTTCCCATAATTCTTCTAAATCTTTCTTAATACACCTAAACAATCCTCCCTCAGCTCTTGCTTTGAAACACAATACTGTAGTGGAATACAAGTTCCAGAAATTAAATGCTTCTATTAGAGTTTCCACTGATCGCATTTAATCTTGTTATTCATTTTTGTATGCATTTATTTCCTAATTATAAAGATGAGATTCCAGGAAACACATTTTCAAACTCAACAAAACTGTGTGTGTGGTAAACTGGAAAAAGGAAGGTAGGGAGAAAAGAATGCACTTCAAGTTTCAGTCTGATGAAGAGAGGACACTGAATTATGGAAACTCACAAAAAAAAGTGGCTGGGGGGGGATGAAAAAAGTCTCAAGGCACCTGAGCAAAGGAAAGTAACCCTTTCCATTGCTAGTTATGATAAAACTGCTTGAAGTGAGTAATACTCCTCCTGCTATCTCTATTTAACTATACTGTGATGTACTATCTATTAAAATTCACAAACCTTTTATCTGCCTCACATGGTCTTTAATCAATGACTCAATCACTTTGCCAAGGCACAGGGCTACACTCTCGCTATGTCTTATAAGACTTCTTCACTGGCATCTGGGCCACTCTGAATGCCTTACTGTCTGCTGAAGAAGGTACCTCAGATCAGGATACTTTTTTTTTTTTTTTTTTTTAATTAAGGCTGAAATGACTCAAATTAGCTTCTTTGTCCAACCCACCCAATGGCTAACAGCAGAGTTACAAGATATCTGGAGAGAACAGGCAAGAAGATCAATGAAATATGACGCTGGGGCAACTCCATCTCCAATATTTAATGTGTTCTAACAACTAAAGAAAAGTGTTGAGAAATGACTGCAGTCTGTAGTCCCTGTTTGCCTTTTTTTTTTTTTTTTTAATCTCTTGTCTTTTGCTGTAAGCTACTTCTCATGCCACATGGGCACAGAACATGAGGTCACATATAGGCCATCAAATTTCCCGTGCAGACTGAACCTGGCTCCAAAAGTACTCTGCAAGCCTTCATCATTCCTTACCACTTTTCAGAAAAGCATGCCTTCTCCCTAGCATCACCAAAACCATGCTGGACTGAAGTCTTTCTCTATTTTCTAATAGATAGCCATATGTTAAGGAATAGTTATTTGACCAGATCACCCTTGTATCTAGGGGTTTTAGTAATGTTAAAGACTACTGAATGGAAGCCTGTCACCTTGACTAGTGGCTTAAATACATTCAACATTTGAGCTGATCCACACCTTACGAAGAATAATTAACATTTTTCAGGAAAAGCTGTTTTTGAAGAAGTGAACCAGCACACACCACAGAAACCAAGTACCATAAGGATTATAACTAATAGTCTCTTCTGGTCCTAAAAAAAATCTCAAATTTGCCATCTCAATTCTAGCATATATTTTACTACTTTTGTACCCCAACTATAAAATTTAAAACTGCATCTTGTATTAAGCAAATTAATCACATTAATTTTATTTACCTTCTCTTAGAAAAAAAAAAACTGAACCTCTCAATTTATGCTCCTTCAGGGATATTAGCTAAGTAATACTTTTAATTTAAATTAAATTTGCTAATTAAACCATACTAGACCACTTAACCAAATTTGTTCTTTGTAGCAATGCTCTGATTCAGTTTAAAACCAGACATAAAAACTTCATACAACACTCTGACAGATTTGACTTGTGTCTCTTTTGCTGCGTGCTCCAGGTATTACTATGATTATAGTCTTCCACTGCTGAATGTGGTGCTGATTCAGCTTGCCTGCAACCACAAGCTGTTTCAAGAAGACTTGGCAAGCCACCCAAAACTAACATACCCCTGCTTTTCACCGAGAAACTCACTGAGTCTCTCTCTCTCTCTCTTTTTTTTTTTTTTAAAAAAAAAAGATCACGAACTAACCGAGCATTGGCTTTTGCAAATGGAGTCATTCTTCTCCACTTGAGACTCTTCACTGATATGCATATTACAGCTGTCAATCATCAAATGAAGATGCTAAAATTGAGTTGGAGGTATTTTTTGTTCACTTTCTCCAAGGGCACATAGTTGAAATAATTTGCACAAAACACTTGCTCATTTATCGAATTCACTTCAGCACTGCTTGTTAAATAAGTAAAATACAAATGATACATTAAAAGCAAAATGTCAGTGTAGCACTAATTTTTAAAAATATTATTTACTGCTATACTTTAATCATGTTAGTTTTGTCTTTGTAGCACAAACTGATTTATTGAATTAATTGGTTTTTTCCTGCAATGATTTTTTTTTTTTTAAATCCCCATATTGAAAAATTGCTGCATTTCTAATCCTGTGAAGAAAGACTATAGCACATGAATGATTTGATACATGGGAATAGTCCCAACGAAGTTTAGAAGCTTTTGCTGCAGGCTTGGATCTAAATTTTAACAGCTACATTCTGAACTGTAACTGTGAGAGAAGCTTCTTCTTATCTGAGCTGTCTCACTGATTTCAGGGACTCTGCATAAAGAGCACGAACAGCAAGGTATGACCCTAACATGAGCCCTAAACCTGGCAGAGAACATTCCTTATGTGTCAATAACTACACAAACATGCACGCAAAAGGTTTGGAGAAAGATCTTTTGCAATGAATTTTCTGTAGCGGCTAAGATTTTTCCTTAAGTTAACACAAGCACACGATTTGTAATGCACAAAACATTGTACGAAAGGTGCTCAGCTTGAACGTCAGCTTAAATGCTTTGCCTCTCTGTCCAAACCTCTCGCCCATATTTGGGCTTCTGAAACGTCATTGCATGTCATGCCAACAGGACATTAAAAAAGAATGAAAAAAATAAAAGAAATGCCATAGAATCTCTTATTTAAACAGGTCATTAATTCCTGACACTGATTTCCAAACACATTTCCTGGAACAGGAAATCACTCTCAGTTGCTTGTTATATCCTGCCCTTAAATATGGGGAACAGGCCATTCCTTCTATACCTACTACATACTTCCAAATGGGATAGTATACCCTGCCTTTTAAAACAGAGCGTTTCAGTAAGATGAAGAGAGAAAATACAGGAGACACGCTCCAAGGGAATGCTGGAGAGCAGACTAGATTAAATCTGGCAGAGCTTTACTCCTTCTCTTCGCCTACCAAATGAAGCAATTCAAGTAACTCCATGCAGGTTTAAGCTAATGTCAGACTGGTCTAGGATAGCCAAGGTGCATGTTTTCTGCCCTGCTGCCTCTACTGCAAGCAACAACGGCCAGCAGGGCAGACAGCTAGATATAACCTTAAATCACTGCAACAAAATATGTCAGAGCTCACCTGCCACAGCCTTAAATACGTGGCTGCTTGCCTAGCCTTTACAGACGTTTTCTTTCTCTGCCTTCAAGCAGCTCTCAAATCCCAGTGCCACTGTGCTCAGCCTCCGAAGAACACCTGCCACCTTTCAGCTTGTACTGCTTTCTGGGGTGTTTGGCTCAGAAAACATTTCCAGCTAGACAGGCCTTGGGGCAAAGCTACTAAACTCTTCATTTTGTGCAGCATTTTGCATGGGTGGGATTGCCTGCATCTCAAGCATCAGAGACTCATGAGACCAAGACTGTGCCTTGCCCCTGATGCAAAACTTGGCAATTACCATCTGGTACTATTTAAACTTCAGCCTTAGAAATTGTATCAGAAATAGAAGAAACATCCTCCCCACCAAACAGAACAAAAAATTTCCTCTGCAAATACCACCCAGTGGGGAAAAATGGAGCTTATAAAAGTATAAATGTTGCCAGGCAGATGTGATTTGTGAAAGCACACCAGCAGTGAGCTCTATCCGAGCGGAGCAGACTGTGACAGCCGTTCCACTGTTTTTGACATCTGCAGATACAACTTACCTTTGGCAATAGGGAACAGATAATATTCCACAGGGAACAGCTCAGAATAATCTAGTGCTGGCGGGGTTTCTCATCTGTAGGCTTATGGCTGAAGAGTCTCTCGCACCCCTAAAATGACATACTTCCTCATCTGCCCACTGCAACTATCTCCGCTTTGTCCCCAAACAATAGAA